TAATATAGATATATTTAATTTTAAATTTAAAAATCTATATACAAATTTCAAAATTAAAATTTGAAGTTAATAAACCTGTTGCTTTTTTAAATTTTTATGGTTTAAAATATTAAGAAATAAGATTATTTTTTGTAAGAATATTATATTTAGATCCACACCTAAATATCTCTCTGAATCATCGCGTGGTCATTTGAAGCATCGCATTATCTTGAAGCACTGAGCATGTGTTCAGAGCTATGTAAACATATCTTCCATCTTTTTATCAACATTTTTTTTGACACTCACGAGTTAGATAACTTTTTTGGCAGGCTTTTTCCTCTCGCTATTTTTTTTTTCTTTGCTATTCTGTTACGTGATTCTTATCATAGTACATGCAAACGGACATAACCGGACAAAATTATTTATGTGTTTTCTTTCACTTATCTACCCACTATGCCATCATTTTTCATCTATTAATTACATAATAACTAATTGCTCTTTTTTTATAATAATTCTTTCAACATCCACAAGTATACATTTATTCATCCATAACTTTGATTAAGTTATTCGACTATTAAAGCTTGGTGAAATGTTTTTCAACTTATAATGAAAATTGCTTAATCAATAAAGATTACACTAGTCAATGTTACTGCAGTAAAATGCAATTTCCATATACTATTGTATATATATACACCTCTTGACAGTACATTAAATACAGAGGAAAGAAACGATTTGGTAGCATATTAATATTTAATAGAATTATAGCTTATATTATATATTATAGAATTATAATATTAATATTAATAGAATAGAATTAATAGAATTATAATAAGACACAAAATTTTATTTTCTTTTTCTCAGAAATTATTTAAATGCTTCCTTCTTCCATTTAAATAGGATCCACTGAATTTTTATTAATAGAATTATAATATAATAGAATATATAATATTAATAGAATTATAATAAGACACAAAATTTCCTTTTCTTTTTCTTAGAAATTATTTAATGCTTCTTTCTTCCATTTAAGAAGGATCCACTGAATCTTTTAAATCTTCAATTATATTGAAATTTTTCAATTCTTCTGTAATGTTCTATATCACTCCATAATGACTCTGTATTAACCCTTCCACGAGTAAACGTTTCGACGGTCTTACGACGATTTTCCACTTAACTCACTAGCGCCACCACGGCTCGTATCTCCAATAAATGTTATAAACGTTACTGTAATTAAAGTTGTACACATAATCTTCGAATTTCTTTCGTTCTACTCTCTGTTATATCGTTGGCAAAATATTGTTTCCACGAATTTTTCAGCCACACACGTACCAAAAATTTACTTTAAATATAAACAGTTGGTCATAAATTAAACGCTTCGACTCAAAAAGTTAAAACATTCAAGAAGTGACGTTAATCACTTTGCCTTCTAAATAATCTAATTAGTATCGTATGTTTTCTTCATATTACCATTACCCGACGTAATAAGATATTAACATATTTTCGTATTTATATAATAGAGAAAATATACTGTTCGAATAGTAAAATATTTACGTAGCAAGTACATGTTCTATTTCGAATAATTTTTCCACGTTATGTTCACACGTTACATGATTCGACCATGAGACAAAGGAACTATGAATCGGCGGACGTAATATGTTTTCAAATATTCTTACCTCGTTCCACATCGGCGTCATACATGAATGTGGAATAAACGTCCAACAGAAAATAAGTTCCCTAGTTCCTAGTAATCTAAAACAGAGATGTAAAGAAAGATACATTTTACAGTAAAAATAGTGACTTTTAGAACTTATAACGCTTAAGCATTTTTCATTTCTTTAATAGAGAGAATTGTGAACTATTATTCTTGCTTTGTTCCACGTTGCCAATCATATATACAGTAAGTTAAAATACTCGAGATATTTTCGAACTAACGAGCTGTATGCAAGATAATTGCATTTATAATTTAAATGGGTTACTTATAATAAATATTTCGAAATATTTCATCTATTTGTTTTTTACATTTTTTATATTTATAATACAACTATATCATTCGTTATAAATGAATAAATTTTAGTACGAATAAATAGGGATCAGTAAGTTTTTCCAGAAAAAGCATAAAATTAAATTTTACATTAAGGGGGTATTTTAGTCTACAAATAAATTTTTAGATGCTATTTGGGATTTATTTTTAAGAAGCATGAAGACGCTATTGCGTCAAAATTTGTAGCATGGTTTTGACCTATATTTAAGGAGTATACGCTATTTTTTTCATGAAAAGATATTGAAAATTGTCGAAAATACAGATAGTTTAGTAGTGCTACGTTCAATTGAACATGCCTGCACGGTTGCCACGACTCCGGCTGTTCTTCTCCTCCAAAATGGACGAACAATCATCCATTATATTCACTATGGACGTGACTATCGCCGGAACCAAAAGTATATAAAAACACTGAAGAGAAAATTTTTGGCAGCACTTTAAAATTAGATTATCGATTTTTGTGTTTTTTTTTTAAATTTAGCGTGCCAAAAAAGATAGTTAAGAACGTTAGATTTAAAAAATTTTAATTTTGATAATAGAGATACACGTGCTGAAGATACTCTCCAAATTTTTTCGTAATCGGTCAATTAAAATTTGAGATATCATGGCAACCATTTGGAAAAATATAGTTTCGAGAAAAACGCATTTAAAGTATACGAATATGTGTATGTATCGCGTGCTACGAACAAACGCTAATAACTTCATCAATTTTTCAAACTGACTGGTCGAACCAACAATATTCGCTAGTTGAAATATTTTAAAAAGCATATACTCTCAGAAAATGAAATTAAAGGAATTGATTTTTTTGAAGGTTCTAGACTAGAATACCCCCTTAAAGTCGCTTTTGACGATTATTTTCAGTGATTAAATTAAGTGGCAAACCAGTTAATAGAGGAATTTAATTTTAAAAATCCCTTATGGGGTGCGTAATTAAAATCAAGCAACGTCAAGTGTATAAGTCGAACACAGAGCAAATGCACCTATTATAAATTTTACGAAAAAAGTAAAGCAAAACGAGGAAGAATTATATTTTTATTGGGTAAAAAATTCACGATTCGTTATTGGGAAAAATATTGTTATTATAGAAACTTAAAAACTGCCAAGAAATAATAAAATTCATAAACAAGACTTAACGCTAGACTTGCATCCGATATTTTATTACTACACTTTCTGCTAACATATGACTCCTTTTGATAAAATTAATTATATTCACGTAGAAATACAATAGTATACCGTTTTCCGTCCTCATTATACTATTGAAATTATTATTATTTATTTAACTACTATATAGTTAATTACTTATTATCGGTTAGCAGTTGTAGTGTTAAAAGCATCGATTTTAATATTTTGATCGAACATCTCTTGTTTCTAGTAGTTAATGCCTGTAAGCCTTCAAAATCTTGCAATTGAATCTAACTCTTCGACGTCCTGTTTACGGAGTAATACAGTTTTCAGTATGGAATGTAAAAGGTCAATTGTATCCAGCGTTTCTATATTCATACAATTTTTCTTTTCGCCTTGAAACGATTCGATACGCATGATAATTAACATGATTAACAGCAAGGTCGTCTTTCACATTCAGCAATGA